GAGAGAGAGAGAGGGGTGATTAACTCATTTAGTCAGCTTGGTTATGTGGTGAAAGCTTGGTTATGTGGTGAAGGGAATAATTATGTCTATTTTTTATTTTTATACTATTCACAAGTTGACGCAAATAAAATTGATGTGATCAAAATTTTATTTTATTTTATTTCAATGGATTAATTTTTGTTTTAGTGAATAAGGTAGTGCGTGAGTTGTTTTGTGAACAGGGTAGTGCATGAGTTGTTTTGGGGATATGGTTGGTTTTATTATTAGACAAAGGATTAATTTGGTTTTAGAGCGATAAATGTTAATTAGCTTTAGTTAGGAAAGGCTTCCTTGAGATGGTTTGATAAGGGAGACACGAGTTTGAGAGAGAGAGATTTTTTTTTTGGGTTTTATTTATTTTTTTCAACAAAGTGTATTTAAAGGGAAGATGTCCCTTCTTTGTAAATAGAGAATTGGATTTGAGTAAAAAATTCGGGTCTTGTGAATAGTTTTTTGGGGTGGACTCCCTTGCAGATCTAGAGAAAGGGTATAATCTCTCATCCTTTATTATTAATTTTATTTTAATTATTTTTTCCCTTCATCTTCCCTCCATCAGTTGGTATCAGAGCATGGTAAGATCCAGCCATTGCAATGCTATTGAAAGCTACTTCTGCTATGGATGATGGCATGACACATAATTTTAGAAAATTTAATCAAAGTCATGGAAGATGTTGGAAGTGAAGTTCGTGAAATGAATAAGCAATTGTACCGTAGAGACAAAACTACTTCCACAATCGATTCCAAATGCCGATCCTATATGTAACAAGCACATCGTGATGCAAAATCACGATTTGAGGAGTGTCCATATGATCTTGGTATTCAGCTCGATCTTCCCAAGTTTTACAAGGAACTTGAAAAAGAAAAAGAAATCCCACTGTTCTACTTCGGGATGAGCGTGGAGCATTTGATGAATCGGTTTATTTAAGAAAAAAGTATCGAAGCTCATGGTGGGACTACATCACTAATTATTTGATTGGCCCCTGTAGGGTATAAGCATGAGGTTGAGCTTCTCCAATCTTAGGACAATGATGCGAATAAAAGTTGGGGTTGTTAAATTTTGTTTTATTTTTTTAATGGATTAAATTTTGTTTTTGTGAATAGGGTAGAGCGTGAGATAAATGTTAATTAGGTTTAATTAGGATAAAGCTTACTTGAGATGGTTTGATAAGGAGACGTGAGTTTGAGAGAGAGAGAGAGATTATTTTTTTTGGGTTTTATTTGTTTTTTCCAACTAAGTACATTTAATGAGAAGATGTCCATTTTTTGTAAACAGAAAGTTGGATTTGAGTAAAGATTTTGAATCTTGTGAAAAACTCATTTGGGGTGGACTCCGTTGTTGACCTATAGATGGTATAATCTCTTACTCATTATTATTATTTTTATTTTAATTAATTATTTTCTCCATCTTCTCTCCATCACAAGTACTATTCATGAGTACTGTTCATAGGGGTAAAGTGTCATTACAAAATTTATGTTTTAGTTAGGATATAGAGGCTATGTTAATCATTGTATGGACATGTGATGTTGTTGAATATGAAATTATAATATATATGAGGTGTGTGGGGCTTTAGAGGAAAAAATCCACTTATTTTTAGAAATTGAAAGAGAGAAAAACTTAGGCTTTTGGAACTCTAGCTTGGGGTATGGAGAAGAAACCTTAGGTTTTGTTGAATTGTGCTTGTGTTTGGCTTGTTTCTTGCTGATTTTATTGTTTCCTTCAATTTTCCTTGCATCGAATTGGTATCAAAGCCCGCGATCTACACGAAAACTATTGTAGCACTGTACGAAGTTGCTGTAGCACTGCGTTTTTGGTTCCCTAGGTCAACAACAAAGCGGGGAAGTTATAATGGGGGTCTAGGGTTTGCTGATTTTAGCTAAGGTTTTTCCAAAACAACATAGATTTTGTTGATTTCAATAGTTTTTTGTTGATTATTTTGCCTAGGGTTTGTGATTTCAGCAAACCCATGGCAACAAGAAAGGGCCGTAGAAGGGGGGTTTTCGTAGGTCCACTACGTTATCCCATAGATGGCCTAATTGAGGAACTTGAAATGTGAGTACAATAGATGGCGTAATACTTCACAAGCCTCAATAATGGGCAAGACGGTGATCTTTCAGCCCAAGAGGATCTCGAGAACAAGCCTTTTCACTTTTGCGCTCTACATGGGAAGTCGAGTGATGAGGATAGTGACAAAAGACCTAAATGCGGGCAACATCACTCTAGGGTTTTCGATTTGAAGGATGAGATTCTTGATTTTGACACAACATGTATCGAAAATCAGAAGGATGTAGATTGGTATCTGCCACCAATCTTCGATGCATACATAGATGAAGAATAAGATCTTATAGGAGATCCAATCTATAATCATGATCAAGATTTTGTGGTTGAATTGATATTTGACGAGGAAAAAGGTAAAGAACTCAAAGGAGAATTGATAGGTGAAGTTGTTGGTTTAGTCGTTGATCTCAAAGATGCACTCGTGGTGTGTTCTAGAGTTGAGCGTGGGCAAATTCAACAAGGTTGCATAGCTAAAGTGATACAATTTCAACAAGTTTATGAGACTACAAATTTTCTAGTGACAAACAATGACCCTTTTCTTGAGGGTTTCTCAGTTCTAATGCACAATCATTGTGTTTTGATTAGTGCAATAATCCACAAGTCCCATGTTCATGTTTACATTATTCGAGTGGAAAAATGTTGTTGGACTAGTGCCAATTTCATCTTAACACACTTCAAAACTCAATGACTAGTTTTCTCTAACCGAAGGAAAATGATAGAGGGAAAAATTATTCTTGTTTTTTATTTTTATTCAACTTTAAGTGATATATAATTTTAGGGTTTATTTCTAGGGCTTTTTAGTGTTTGGCTTGTTTCTTATTGATTTTATTGTTTCCTTCAATTTTCCCTACATCATTTTGTTAACTACCAAGTCAACTTAGACTTTTGGGTTTTTTACCACCGATTTAGACCTTAACTACAATTGTTATTTTAGACTCATACACGAAGTGGTTTACCTGATACTTGTTGCTTTTGTTTTTCTTTTTGAAATTTTATGTAGTTTACATCTCCTTAATAGATATTTTTATGCAACTGGTAAGATAACCATCGATGCCTGCAGGTAACATGTGGTCATCTGTAGCTTATTTATCATGTTTGTTCATTTTTTTCATGTTTTGGAATTTTGTTACTTGTCATGCTGTTATCTAATCACTATAATTTTGAAAACAGGTGTAAAGGGAGGATTAATATATCCAGATAACTTCTGATTGCAGCTGCAGTAGATCTACTTGAATTGCTTCTATTTTACCAGGTAGGCATTTTTCATAGAACTTGGTAACTTATTAGTTCTTTTACTTCTGGCTCTGTCTGGAGTAATTTGCAGTTCTAGTATCACACTGTAGTTTGTGGTTAATTCCTGTGCTTATCAATGAAAGCAAAAATGCTTTTCAGGTTAGTGTAAATAAAAACTAAAAGATATCAGACATATAAGTCTTATCTAACGTGTTATAGTTTCTCTCATATATTGCAATATTACAAATAGAAGTCAGAATCTGCTTTGCTACTTCACATCAGGGCACACAGTGTTTTTTTTAAAAAATTGCATGTACATTTAATTAGATAGGAGTTTGGTCACTGTTCTTAGGAACATAATATATTTTTTTTCCCTCTTTCCATTCTGGAAGGACAAAAAAAGATAAAATCTCTACTTCACTTAATATTAGAGGCATAATAATTAAACCTGTTACATGGTGTGATTAATGGTCATTCTTGAAAGGATTGGAGGACCCTGTCTACTTTCTGAAAGGTCAAGAGTGATTATGTGCCATCTCTCTCTCTCTGTGCACCCTTTGGCAACATCAGAACATATATAGTCACTTTTTATTCCCATTATTGCTGTAGTCTAGGCTAGTCGTATCCTTTTTTTCTGATGTCAGTTAAAATTGGAATATTTTCTAAAGCCAGTGGTATTTTGGCATTATAACACCCTACCATTGTCATTTTTTAGTAGCTGTCCCCATAGGGTCCTCACTTTGTCGGGTGTTGGTGTGTTGCTGTGATGGTCATCTGACATTCTGTGTCCTAGCTGGTGGGTTTTCTTGCTTTTCTTTCAGACCACACGAGTGAGATTTGTATTTGATGGAAATGCATTTGTTTACTTCACTATCTAATTCCTCTAGGACTTTGCTATAAATTTAGTTTCCCAGATTAGTGAATACAATAGATGCTTTTTGTTTTCCAAAATGATGTTGATTAGGGTGTTACTGGCTGATATGTCTTGTCTTATCTGATAAGGAACTAGTGGACATGTTTCTTCAAAGCAATGTTAACAAGCTTCCTGAATAAATTAAGGTCTTATGTCATCCTGGTTTGTATACTTTGTTCCTTTTGAACAAGCAGTTGCTCGAGTAGTATTTTGTGATTACCTTGCTGGAAAGCTTGACCATAGTTACCGGGAGCTCCTGCTTCGGAATCTCGCTCCGGCGTTCCGGAGCCGGGATCTTGCTTGGAACCTGTTCCCATCTTTTTGGGATCTCACTTCAATTTTTAGGATTCTCGATCCTATTCACAACGGAGCTCGCTCCCGATACTGCACGGAATGCGTTCCTTAAACTTTAGAATCTCGTTCTTGAATAAACTAGATCCTTGCTCCCAGAATTTTAGGAGCGCGATCCCTACATATCCAGAACTCCATCCCTAATTTTCCAAAACATCCTAAAAGAAACTTCTTAAATAAAAGTAAATTTTAAAATAAAATAATTGCATTTTAAGCCAAATTTTCATAAAAGTGGAGTTCTGCGATGGGAGCGTAGACTAATCATATACAAAACGTGATCCTTCCTTGAATGGAGTTCGATCCTTTCCAAATAGGAATGCGGTCATTCTTAGATGGGGGCGCGATCCTGTTGTTGATGGGAGCACGATCCTAATGAATATGGGAACACAATCCCATTTGACATGGAAAGCGTTCCCGTTAAATAGCGATCTTAAATGTATTGGGAACGCGCTCCCTGTTCATACGAGATCTCGATCCGCAACTTTTACCCTCATCGGAACTCGCTCCCTGAGCTCTGGAGCTTTAGGCAGACGTCGCTTCGATGCTCCCGCTCCCTGAACCGGAGCCGCTCCCGCTCTCAGTAACTATGAGCTTGGCATGCATGCCTATCTAGAAACCTTGGTACCTCTGAGCAGTAACTGTTATTGAATGCATTTTTTTAATTTGAAAGAAAAATTAAACAAATGGTCAAAATGAACCCTAGAATATTCTGCCTCATTTCTCTGGATTTTGAAATGAAATTTAAGAAATAGAATATTTGGCAGAAAAGTGTTCTACTTTGAAAATTGTATCAAAAAATTGTTTCTAAATCTTGTTTGGCTATTTCTCATGATCAGGGTGTAATTGCATAACTATGGATGTCTTCTTGTTCTTTGTAATTTTTTGTTGAGTTTTGATATTTGAAATATGCAAATTATAGTCAATGTTCCAAGGATTGGACTAGTGATTGAATTGGTGAAGGCACAGGTCTAGTTAAACCGCTTCATCAGTCGGATTGGTGTAGTAATTTAAAAAATTAAAACAATTATGGAAAAAGAAATAGAAATCCAAAAAGGAGAATCGTAAAAGCCATTAAAAAATAAAAACTGTTAATTTTATTTTATTCCTTTTTGGTTTTTAAGTGATTTACAAATTAAAAAGTGTAGAAATCCTTAAAAATAAAAAAAATGCACAAAAGAAGAAGAAAAATTAACGTTCATTTTACATATTGTAAATGCCCTTTAAAAATTACAACTATGTCAAACACATTTAGAATGAGTCCTCCATAGACCCAGCCAACCGTTATAGTCCTTACAAAGAGTGAAGAGGCCATTTCCAGCGACACTAGTGCTGGAAAACGGTCCTCAAAAGACTGAAACAACATAACAAAAATGGAAAGAGGAAGAAAAATGTAAACAACTGAAAATGCAGAAAAGAGGAACGTTAGAATATGAAAAAAACCAAAAATATTTTCAAATTTTTATTTTCTTATTTGAAATCCAAAACACATAAAACTAAGCGTAAATCACCTGGACTTACATGGGCGTTGAATACTCGGATTTTGTGCCTGGGTTGAAATACTCGGATTTTCCTTTTTCAATATTACTTGGATATTTTGAAAAAGGACATCATGGGATTCCTGGCTGAACTTCACAAGCGAATCAAGCTTTATAGCAACTTCAAATTTGCATCTATAATACTGATTCAAGAAATATGGGTTTCCAATATCAAAGAGGATAGACCCATTATTTTGGGTAGAGCCTATAAATAAAATCCTCACATGGTATTAACTAGTGGGCTAAGAATGATCTTATGTTGAAGTTTTTTAAGCAAACTGAGGTGCGCAAGGCAGACATATGTGAAATAGTGTCTCATTAAACGTGATTATTAACATGGGAAAGGCAATGTCATGATTCGGATTTCCTTATAGGTTTTGGACTGAGATTGAGAGTTTGGATTAAGAAGTGTGTTTCCATTGGAAGAGATCACCTTCACAACAGTGGCATGGTGCGGCGGCAGTTTCCTTTGGGGCCTTTGGAAGGAGCTGGAATAATAGGATATTATACGATGAAAGAGCAAATATGATTAAGGACGGGGCTATGATGTGGCCATGACTCGAATGAATTTTGAGGTGTTGGTGCTTAAGGCTTCATTCTAGACTTGTGATGCCACAACAGTGAAGACTAGCTTTCTTTTGGCAGAATTGACGTGTTATATGCTTCCTTCTTTTGGCTACTATTTACTGAAGCAGATTTATTCAACATGATTGATGGGCTGGAAAGGAAGTCGACTAGCTGTGGTATACCATTTAAGATGAAGCCAATAAGAAACAGACAGAGTGCATGTAGATGAAGAAGATTATAATCAAAATAAAGTATCTAAGGAGATGAACAGAGTAAGCGAGGCGGAAGAAGATATAAAAACATCATTAATAGACTGAAAGAAGCATATCAGAAACTGAGCATAAACAAAGCAAACTGGACAGCATACTAGAAACAAAGAAAACTGGAAAGCGAATTGGAAAGAAGAACTAAAGCACACCAAAGCAGTAAATCTAGACTGAGAGGCTCTAAGCAGCTCTCTGTTTACCAAATTATCATTTTCAATGGACTGTCAGGCCTTTTGGTTTAAAAAATGCACCTACATATTTTCAAAAAGTTTTAAGCAACATTTTTGAACCAATCTCGACACAGGCACTAGTATATATAGATGATATACTCCTCTTTTCTCTAGATCTTGATAGTCATATACTTCTATTAGAAAAATTCTATTCCTTGTGTTGTAAATATGGCATTATAATTTCTGAAAAGAAATGTGTTTTTCTACAACAGAAATTGATTTCCTTGGTATGCATTTCCATAACGGAATGTATAAACTCCAGCCTCATATAGCAAAACACTTATTAGAATTTCCAGATATTTTATCTTCCGTAAAGCAGATTCAACAATTTCTAGGAATTGTGAATTATATGTCCCTTTTATTCCAAAGTTTGCTCTCTTCACTAGTCCACTTTATCTTCTTCTAAAGAAAAAAGCACCACCTTGGACAAAAAAACAGATTGGGTGTGTTCTTGAGCTCAAGAGACTTTCCCATAATCTTCCTTCTTTAAAAATCTCATCTACAGGAAAAAGGATTTTACAAACTGATGCTTCGGATGAATTTTGGGCATGCATAGTACTTGAAGAAAAAGATAAAGAACAAATGATTTGTGGATATAAAAGTAGAAAATTCAAAGAATTTGAATTTCATGACCACTCAACATTTAAAGAAATCCTTGCAGTAAAAAGAGGAATTGAAAAATTCTAATTTCATCTGATAGGCCATTTTTTTGTGGTAGAAATGGATTTTTCAACATTTTTGAAAATTTTTCAGATTAAAAAACAAGATTCTTTCAAATCCACAGTTACTCAGATGGGCAAGTTGGTTTTCACAATGAAATTTTGAATATAAACATATTTTTGGAAGAAATAATATCTTAGCTGATATGTTTTCTCGAAAGAAATATTCTGAAGATACTATGCTTTAAATAGTCCCCTTCTGCGGAGCCATAATAAGAATGGATGAGAATGAACCAAGAGATGTTCTTGATGAAATTTATGACATCATACTCACCAAGACAATAGAAGCGCGAAATGAAACTATGTAACAGAAAATCCATGGAATACTAATCAGAAATCATGGAGAATGTTTTCAAAGAATTCGATGCCATCCTTTTTATCCTTATTCCAGACCCGACACTATTATAATATGCCTAAGGAAGCCCTTTGTTTTTTCTG